CTCTCTCTCTCTCTCTCTCTCTCTCTCTCCTCTCACTCCTCACCTTCCGTTTTCGTTCTTTTGCCAACGAGCGAACAAATCTGGCTGATCGAGCAGTTGCTGGACTCGGTTATCCGAACAGCACGTTTCCACTGGGCTCTTTTGTTTGTTTTGCGGAGACTTCGAATTGATACCTGCGATACGACGCGAAATTGCGTTTTCTGTCGCGGCGGATTCGACAAATATTTCGCAACGTTCGGCCGTGGACGTAGTTTCGTCAATTGGCAAAAGAATTGGCACACAGTGGAATGTCTATTTGACGATTCTAATGACTGAATTGTTAATAACTGCGTTGTGTACGATTATTCGTCAACTTTTTTTCCAACATGAATGAATTCTGGCCCACTTCAATGCTTATATATCAATGCTTGTATATCAATGCCTAATATCTTTCGACACAAATTAATACCAACGATGTGAGTACTACTCTTTTTATTACTTAATACGAAGAACATACTAGGATGCCAGAGTAACATCATAACGAGACGTTTAACAATATTAATAAATAATACGAATAAATATGTAATAATACTAAATAACAAAATAAATAAATAAATATGTAATAAATGACGAAATGTAACACATTTAACAACGACATTTAGAAAAGAAAAGAAGCTGAGAAAAATATATTTATGCTCGTTAATATAAATACAATTATAAATCTTCCTGTTATTTTCAACAACGACGCAAGCCTGCTCAATACGCGCAGGAAGAATATTCTCCGAAATATTAAAACGTTCGTCGATATATATATATATGTGTATATACTTCGTTTGCAGTGTCGTTTACGAGCGTAATTCCGGAACATTCAACTCCAACAAAGCAGCTTCTTCGTTTCGCTTCGTTTCGCTTCGTCCATCGATAACGCCTTAATTGCCTCTCTCTCTCTCCTCTTCTCCTAGGGGAACGAAGGAGTCGCACGAGTGAAAATAACATTAATCGCGGATCCGCGCTCGGGTCACTCGGACGCTGTTGCACCGTCAGCTTTAATCGGCAGACGGATGAGGCCGTCCTATTGGCGCAAACAATGCGCTGGAGGAGTATTTATTGCGGCGGCTAATACCGGTTTATTGGGATGTAAAATGAGGCGAGTCGCGTGCTGACATGCTTGGTTTCCTCCTGCTCGAGTTCACCGGCCGTCCAACGCATAATGGAACGCGCTTCGGCCGTCCGTTATGAATAAAGGAACAACCATCGCCGATCGTTAACCGCGTATTACAAACGTTTAAGATCACCGGCTGCTCAAGAGCCGCGTGCGTCTGATGTTTCCTGTCGATATTTCCCGCGGAATTCAGTCGTCAACTAGCTTCAACTATTTTGTTTAGTCCTGAGTACTAAGTGAAAAATTCAGTCCTGGTAGTAAGTAAAAATTTATTGCACAGAGAAAAACTGATAATAAAATAATTGTTGTTACGGTGTGTTGAATGAATATATCAAAGGATATATTTATTTTTAAAAGTAGAAGAATTTTCAATTATTGCTTTTATTTGTTGTTTGGTGTTTAGTAATTTCGAGTACTCAAAGGGTTAACAATTTATTCCAAGTGTGAGATGGAAGTTAGGTATCAAGCAGTTCATCTTAAGCAGAGAGGGCTCAGAATAAAACATTCTTTTCAGTTACTGTCAATAAAACGAATACATTTATTTATCCATTCGAGTTGTTGTTAACAGTAAAGAAAATTCAACTCGACAACTGACTATGTACTGTTGTGCTGTTTAATACGAATTGACGAGGGAAAAATTGCAAAAGAGGTAAGATGGAAGACAAGAGGTGAACGAAGATGTTCGCATCCTGGATGAAAAATTGTCGATATTCTATATCCTTGTAACTGAACTGTGAACTATTGTGA